TTTACACCATTTATATTTTCATCTTGAACATAATTTAAAGCTATGAAATACATGTTACAGTATCCCGCTTAACTGACTACAACAGATCACGCTTTAGTTAGTATTTACGAACATGCAGAGCTGTTTAATAACCTGGGCCACCAAAAACCACCATCATTATGTATTACATATAATTTCTCTTGTTCACTTTGGTTTTATCTATTAAAATACAACCTTTAATGACATTATTTACTCTCACGAGTGTATAAAATATTTACAACTTGCTGGTTCGCTAGTTTCTACCGAAATTGACAAAAAGCATAATCATGGTTGGTAAAATATCCTAATATATAAGACAACTGTTCCTGAGATTTTTAGTACAAACTGTCACAGCCAGAGGAATAAAACTAGCTATATACAGTCCTGAGCTATTCACTTGGGTCTATCCTTGGGTCCCAAAATGTATGTCATGCATTTCTCCAAGAAGAAATTTCATAAGGAATCGGGTTTGCACTTCAGGTCAAATAGTTTTGTGTCACGTCAGTCACTTAAAGATCCTGGACGAAAAAAGAAACTATTATGCAATGAATTCCGCTGAAAATTTCGTATATTATATAAAGTGTCTAGAATAAAGCAATGATTATTAATTTAATCTAAAAAGTATCACAATAAGGATTATTTATAAGGGTGAGATATTAAGTAATGCATAGTATAGATTTGAGAATAATAATGCATAAACAATCATGCATGATTAAACTTCTTAATCTTAACATCAGATTTCATTTTAATTGTGTTTTATTTTATATTGTTTTGATTGGTTACAGGACATTAGTTAGAGAACCATTGGAAAACCAGTTAGGAGTACTGGACAGCTGTTTCGTCGTAGTTTGGGACTCTTCATCAGTACGCACCCACGGGGTTCGAACTCAAGACATTCTGGTTACAAGGCCAGTGAGCTCGTATACCATTAAGCCACTTGGACCCAATCCACTGGCTAGTTCATGAATTCTAACTTCTGCCAATTCCCGACATAGTGCGACCCCTAGCCGCTCAGCTCATGATGAAATCCTGTTACCAATCAACCAAATCCCTACAAACCAACACTTGATTACCAATGAGATGCTCACTGGCGACTGGCCGTATTCAGATAGGTGGTTACATGGGGTTCTAGTGAGAAGTGACCAGTAGGGTGCATCAGGTCGGGTGTGAGGACAAACACTCGCCAGAACATTGGCTAGGGGTCTCGCTATGTCGTGAATTGGCAGAAGTTAGAATTCATGTGCTGGTCATTGGATCGGATTCTCAGTGGCTCAATGGTTTACGAGTCCGCGAACCTTGTAACCAGAAGGTCCTGGGTTCGAACCCTGACGGTGGGTGCGTACTGCTGAAGAGTCCCAAACTAGGACGGAACAGCTGTCCAGTATTCCTAACTGGTTTTCCAATGGTTCTCTAACTAATGTCCTGTAACCAATCCAATCCCTACAAATCAACACTTAAACTTAGTGATGAACTATCTCTCTCTCTTTCTCATTGAAAAATGTTAACGAGACAATTGACATCCTGAAAAATTCATTGACAAACATTGACAATAAGATACCAAATATACGAGCAATTTTTTAATAGCGAAAAGAAAAGAAATCAGTCTTCGTTAGATTTTGATTCAAAGATGGAAGAGTTAAATAAATATAGAATAAATACTGCTCACAAGCCAATTTATCCAATTGCCAGAATAGTAACAATTTACCAAATAAAATGTTTATTGATACAACCTAAAGTTGATAAGTCCATCTTTCATGTTGCCTTCAAATGTATTGTTTTGTTCGGTAATTTTGTTATCTTAATTATATCTTGAAGTCAATTGAAGGATGGTGACTAGCAGTGGAATCCAGGATACGCACTTCGTCCTATTTCAGACTCGTCATCTGGATGTACCTGCATTCCTCAGTGACTTATGGTGTTCTCATTAAATGCCAAAGCGTTATCCACTAGACTGCTTGGTCCACGAGACCTATTGCATAATAGCAATGCCATCACTTACTGGGAAATACAGGTACATCCAGTTGACAAGTTCCAATCAGGACGAAATGCGAATACTGGATTGCATTTTTAGTCACCATCTACCAATTGACTTCAAGTTATATGATCAAACACTGTCGAAGCATCTGCACAAAGAGCTGAAATGTCAACCTGAGACCGAGCACTTCAGTTCAATCAATCGACGGGAAAATCTAAAATTATATTTTGCTTTTGACAATGTAATTTCCTACCCGAATTTATTTTTTGTCTACATTCTTGACTAAATAAACCCTTTTGACCATTACGTAAGTGTATTGTTGATTTTTCATCTCTGTTCAATTTTCTAACATTTGTTTGTAATTCTAGAATACTTCTTAATTATTTCCATACATACTAACGATTTTGAGAACAGCTTTCATTCCATTCCATTAGGCTACCCAATCGCCTTTATGGTCAACAACATGGTCAACGTATTTGAATATTTTGTAAATATATATTGATAATAAATTATATATGAGAACATGCAGTTGACAAGACTAAATGAAATTTAATGACGCCATTTTATTCTGCTGACTACATACTACTTGATTTACAAGGGTAAACTAAGGCAATAGATTGGATAATGCGACAGACAACGGGAAACGCAACGAGGAGACAGGCATAAAATGGACTCACACGAAAAAAACTTGGAGGATCTCGACTTCGTCGATGGTATATGTCTGATTTCACACAAACTGGAAGATATGAAAGTCAAAAGCAACAAGCTGGAACAAGAAGCATCCAGAGAAGACAGGACTTCAAGGGAACATACAGAAAACAGAGGTACGTGATGAAGATTCCTGGCCAACACCAACAGTAACAACAACGACAACAGACAACAATCAGCCAGCATAAATAGGAACAATCTGAAAGAAACAACCTCCTTCACCCACCTACCTACCGACCTGGGAAGCATCGTTTCAACTACAGGCCAGCGGACGGAACTGACCAGGATATCAAAGAAGCGAGGATCGGGAAAGCAAGACAAGCTTTCATTAATCTCAAGTCTGTGTGGAAGTCAACAGCCCCACTCACCATCAAAAATAACATCCCGATCTAACACTCCAATGTGAAGTCAGGGCTACTCACTGTACGGATCAGAGACTTGGCCAGCGCGTCATAAAGAGCGTCTCAAACAAACTTCAGACCTTCATCAACAGCTGCCTTCTTCGCTCAATACCACTCAAGATCAGATGGCCGGCCAGAAAAGATCACCAACAGGGATTTCTGGAAATGAGCGAACCAACCAACTCAGCAGGAACCGATTGTGAAACAAATAGGCAGGAAGAAATGGAGATGGATTGGCCATACTCTTAGAAAACAAACCATCAAGTGACATTACTAGACAAGCCAGTACTCGAGTGGAACCCGAAAGGGAAGCGGTGAGTTGGTCATCAGTGTGTGGGTGACTTGGAGGAGGTGATGTGAAGAGGAGATGAAAGCATGTGGGCAGACTTGGAGCGGGGTGAAAAAGTTGGTAGAAAATCGAAGGTAATGGAGACGCGCGGTTGAAGCCCTATGTTCTTCTAGGAATTAAAAGGTGTAATAATAATATAAACTATGCCAAAGTGAACTATTATGCAGGGATACTTTTTATTTAAATGAGTTACTTAATAAAAAGGAACACTAAAATTCTATGAAAATACTGCTCCTCAAGCAAGATTCAGTCTCTAGCTGCATGTATCTCAATAAGTTGAAAAAGAAAAAAGGGAGAGAGATAGACAGACAGCTTGAAATGTATAGTTTAATAATATTAAAGACTGACGAACCACAACTTCCTCATGTCTACTGCAATACTGAAAATCATTAAAACAATCATCTACTTTTTAGGTTCACATATCAGTTGCGTAATTTCCCTAAAATTTCGAAGTTCTCAGTAAAGTTGAACTTAACTTTAAAAACCTACGAGACGCAGACGCATCAAAGACCCTGGAAAGAGGCATAACACTGAAGGGTGAATTTGGTCCCTTAACTGAATTCTAACACCAATCTATCCTTAAGCTAAAGATAATCCTAATATGTGCCCAACCTAACTTTATTTTGTCTCTTTTTTTCTTTCACGTTCCCCAGTGGAACATAGGGCTTCAAGCTAGTGGCTTGAAGTTTATTCAGCAGTGTTTATTTTACAGGATGTGGTTTCTAGCCTCATGCCCAACCTTTCATCTGTACCAGCATTATTTCTGGCTTAGCGAGGTAAAGAAGTGAGTCGGCCGGGAATCGAGCCCCGGACCATGTGCATGGTCGGCGAGCGTCCTAACCGTAATAACTTGCCCCTAGGCCGAAGCCTTAAACTAACCAGATATTCTCTGTTCAATATCATCCCATTTCATTCAACAATATTTTTCATAAATATGGTGTTATTCACCGAGTTTCATGATCTTGCTCTGAATAGGTGTGTTTCAAGAGCATAGACACACGTCCGCGCCTGTTAGAATGTTTAAAGTTTCACTTCACCCAGATGCTGACTATATCTGCAAAAGTCCATATCTAAAAGACAAGGTCACTTTTCATGACCTGAAAACCTTTTTTTAAAAAAATAAAATTTAAAAAAAGAATTCCTGAAGAGGTAGGTATACATAATTCTACTTTTTTTTCTCTCTCTCTCCTCTACTTAGTCGATTTTTTTAAGGTTCTCACGAATTGACTGTGACCTTCATTTTTTAATAATCTTTAAGTGAAATTATCCACATAGACGAACTTTTTTCTAAGCAAAAAAAGAACTTCAGTTTTTATTCTTTTATATTATTATTATTATTATTCAGTAACCTTATTGCCGTAATTAGAAAGTTGAAGATAAGGTATATATATATATATGCTTGTCCTACTTCTCTGGAGAAAAAGTAACATGAGCAGTGAAAATTTTTTAGCACGAAATTTCATAGAGAGAGAGAGAGAGAGGGAAAAACGTGTTTCCTTATCAAAAGAAAAAAGAAAAAGTAGAGAAGACTATTCATCTCATCACTTACTTATTCACTGAACGTTTTGTACTGGAACGTTCTTTTGCATGACTTGTATTCAATTTATCTGTAATGATTGTATGATTTCGTAACATTGTAACAGCATCTTTTTCTTGTCTTTTCTGTAGAACTTCTAATTCTTTAGCTTGTTTTTTAACTAACTTTTGATAGATTTTATCAGTTTGTAATAGACTTATTGAAATTGGATCAAATTTCGGATCATCTAAAATACAATGAAAGTTAGAAGAGAAAAAGAAATAACTTTAGTATAAAAAGGAAACTGTATAGGGGAACAAATAAATGTATGTAGACTTAATATTATAAGAGGCGTAACTAGAATAGCTTTGACTCACAGAAAAGGTGAAAACATAACAGATCAAAAGTGAGTCATATTTATACGGAAAGAACTGATGACTTGAAATCTGTAGGGCGAAGTTAAACTTTCGACACCAATAACTACCAATCAGCGAATTGTCCAATGAGATTCACAAAAGTAGTTCAATGTTGTAGAGCGCTTGATTCATTTCTAATGCGTGACCTTACAAGTTTACGGTTGCAATTTGAGGAGGACAGTGTTTTCCAGTATTGCCTGGATTTAGGGTTGCTCCGGAAGGAGCGAACTTGTTCGTGTATTGGTATCATGACTTTAAAAAGCTGTAGCAGATCGACTGATGGGTTTGGTCATCTTTGTGCTATATGTTTAAAGCGTGCTAACATTAGAGAGGGTAAGCTGATAATTTTAATATTTCGTAGGAACTTTTTTCGCTAGGTCGCATCTCCCCCTAACCCAGATTTTGTATATCTGCAGCTACTGGGTGTTGAAACAGCCGGTGAGAGCAGCAGCTGCCGAGACTGAGAATATAAGTATAAAACTTGGGCACTGTGGTAGAGTATAATTCCATTATAGATAAGATTTTATTCTGATAAATCGCACAGTGTTTACAGTTATATGAACTGATGACGTTTCGAGCACAAACTATTGCTCATAATCATATCAAGTTGATATGATATGATATGATTATGATTGATATGATTATGAGCAATAGTTTGTGCTCGAAACGTCATCAGTTCATATAACTGTAAACACTGTGCGATTTATCAGAATAAAATCTTATCTATAATGGAGACTGAGAATAGTCTCGTCTCAACAGTTTAGTGGTACCAGCATTGCAGAGATATTACTTCGTGTGAAATCACTTGTTTGCTGGGTGGATCCCGTTACGAGGACTCATACGAATTCCATTGAAGGTTTTTGAGGCCGCTTGAAAAACAGGATAAGGGCTATAAGTGGATCTCAAAAGGATCACATTTATAGCCATTCAGATGAATATAAGTACAGGATGTGGTGTGACTTCTCCATTGACAGTCACATGGTAAACTGGGAGATGTTTCTCTCACATGTTCGGGAAACATACCGCTTGTAGCCGTTTTATCCTTTTTTTATGCTTTTTTCTAAAAATATAAGTATCCATTCACCATATACGCCTCTTTAACGTGATTAGTTCGTTCAAGGTCGTTTGCTGATTGGTTGTTAGTGGTGTCGAAAGTTTAACTTTGCCCAAAATCAATCAACTACAACACAATTCTAATCTTCAGTATATAAGAAGGGGGAAAAACGAAATAGAATGATTATGTGAATTCATTAGCAGAGAGAAGAATAATTCCTTTTCTCCTCTTATCTCCATTTGCAACAACGAGGGTATCAAAGGTAGGATTAAGAAACCAAGAAATCAATATTGGAATCGACTGCACTGAGTATAAGAAGCAAACTCGGAAATTTTCAGCACTATCTAAAGTCATTGGCTGTGTATGGTTTAGAGACCTGGTGAGTACTTCACCAAAAGTATTTGATCAACAGCTGACTTTACTCCACACTAAAGATCAAATGTCTGTCTGTCTGTTTTCGACATAGAAATATAGAACTTTGCACAAATGTGCACCAGTTCAAGTCGCCACACTCGCTCCTTGTAGCACACAAAGAAAGAGAAGAAAGTAGAAGAAATGCATAATAGAGACAGTAAGCAGAAGTGTGAGACAAAGGAAGAGTAATAACGAAGAACAAAACAGTTTCATTGGAAATCATAATTCACAAGGAGTGGATGCATCTGCGCCAGCCATCATTGAGAACGATTTTGAGCCATATCACCAATTGTTTCCAGCCATTGGTTTTTACCGTCCTGAGGACTCCAACTGGTCAGGAAGTCTACACCTTCCTACGTGGCTTAGACTAACTGTTGTAGATTTCATTGATTAGTGCCATGTTTTTGTTTGACCGTCGCTAACTCTTTTCCAGCCTGACCCTATATCCGCTAGCATCGCTCGTTGAGGAAAGCGATGACTAGGCATGCATGCGTAACACATGTCCTAACCATCTCAGTCTATGTAACTTCACAACCTCATCGATTGATTTCCCCTCCTTACCTAGCACTCGACGCCTAACTTCAATATTGCTCACCTTACTATACCACTTCACACGGGAGATAGAGCGCAGGCACCTATGATCCAAGACAGCTAGCCGGCCTTTTCATGTCTTCCACTCTCAGTGGCCAGGTCTCACAGCCATAAAGGAGGACGGAGTGGACTGATGAGCAGTACACCCGCCCTTTGGTCGACAGTCGGATATCTCGTCTACACCAGAGACGGCGTAAACTGACAAATGCGAAACGAGCCCCTTGTATTCGTGCTGAGTTTTCGTCAGAGGTCAGATAACTATAATGAGGAACTGCAGAAAAGAATCAACCAAGAACCTATTGTCATAGGAATATGCAGAAAGGGATGGAGATGGATTGGAGACACCCATGGAGTAGACTGCTGGGTAGAATCACACATCAGGCTCTCGAATGGAAGTCAGGTGGAAAAGGATGACTCGGGAGTCGCTTCGAGGATGATATGGAGAAGATCGTGTCAGAAGGAAATGAAAGCTTATAGGCAATCGTGGAGCCAACCAAAAAAAGACACTGAAAAGAACAAAGTGAGATGGAGATGGCCAAAAAATGAGCTTTCAATACCTAGAAATTAAACAGTCTGTGCAAACTTCGTTAGATAAAATAAACTCTTCATTTATAAGATTATAATAAAATGAATAGATAAAGCCTTAGTCAACAAGTAGATAAGAACTATGATAGCCTATTGAGAGGAATCACCTAACTCGCCAGTTTACTCGTTGAAATCAAGCCTAATCATCTCAAGTTATCAAAAGGAAATATGATAACACAGAAGAGGATTAATTATACAAATCACTTCTCGAATTGTGTCATGTCAGCAATACTGTGGAGCGTAACTGCGTTGCACCAGAAAAAATCGATTCAAATGCCACTATTATTTAACCTATCTCTCCCTATATCATTTACGAGTAATTTACAACGAAAACAATTAATGCAGATATCTTCTCTGAATTGGATGGTTTATTCGAAAAGCTATCATCACATTGTCCTTCTAGACAACATCTTCGCTTCAGTGCAGAATTCTATACGAAAATAATGAATCTGCCACGCAAATAAGTAATAAACTTTAATTAAAACCCACACAAACTGGTGTTTTTTTTTTAAAAGTTTTACAGTCACCTTTAAAAAAAATTGAAAACGATAAAGGATAGACTAGCTGAAAATGAATATGTATTTAGTCATTATCACCAAATAAGTTCATATAGGCCTCCAATTGATCCAAGAATCCTAATTAGGATTCACTCCATAGGAAGATCTGGATCTGAGATACAAGATGCATCTTCAATGTCTTCAATGTATCTCTTCAACAGCAATTTCGCTACTGTAATATTCAGATTACAACTAAAATTCCCCCATAGAAATGAAAGGTGTACACGAATTGACAGCTACAATATACACCGCTGTTTCAGTCCTTTAGTTTAACGAAATTCTTCTGTTACCCAGTTACCAACAAACTGTGCTACACTTACGAGACATTAGAGACAGAGATCAGCATATCACAAGTAATAAATCACAAAATATCATTTCAACTAAAATAACTAAGATACCTTTCTTGTCATCCTTTTTACTACTATTAGTTGAAGCATTTGTAAGGTCACCAGACCCAGTAGCGCCTTGTAAGGTAGATCCAGTTCCTTGGCCAGATGTACCACCACCGGCACCACCACGTTTAGTATTACCAGTCGATGGTACATCTGCAATCTCCGAGGAATCAATGCCCATACTAGCAAGCTGTCAATAAGTAAAATAAAAAAAGTGAATAAAACATAAAGTTATTAGCATTTATGTGTATTATTATAATTGTGTAAATGACAAGTGAATACATTACAAGCATACTATACTTGATTGTTACTCCTTTCAACTTGATAAGTAACTAGAACTAGGACACACACACACACACATTATAAGTGTATTGACAATGTCATTAATTGCTCACAAATTACACATTACTAATCGATCGTGCATAATTTAAGAATCTCCAACATAAAGGATAATTATCACAGGGAATCAATCAAACCATTATATCAACACTTAATTACTATATAAAACAATAACTTGGATGTATAATATATATATATATTTGCTTGATAGCAGTTTTCGAAGTTAACGTAATTAACATAGGAATTAGCCTCCTCTGGTGCCAAAAATTTTGTTGACCAAAGAAAACAACCTGTTCACTAGTTTAAGTGATACTTTACTATGTAGGTATATTTTCTATAGTTTGGTTTGTAAGGGTTACTTATGTTTTCACGAGTTTATCAAAGATTGATATCAGTTAGAGAACCATTGAAAACCAGCACTGAGGTACTGGACAGCTGTTTCATCCTACTCTGCGAATTATTGGAAGTACGCACCCACCACCAGGGTTCGAACCCAGGACCTTCCGGTTACAAGGCAAGCTCTTATATCATTCAGCCACTGGGACCTGATTCAGTGACCAGACCATGAATTCTAAATTCTACGATATTGGTTGGGGTCGCACTAAATCACGAATTGGTAGAAGTTAGAATTCATCAGCCATTGAATCTGGTCCCAGTGGCTGAATGGTATATGAGCCAGCTTGCCTTCTAACCGGGAGGTCCTAGATTCGAACCCTGATGGTGGGTACATACTGCCGATGATTTCCAAACTAGGATGAAACAGCAGCTGTCCGGTACTCCCTGGTTTTCAATGGTTCTATAACTGATATGTAGATATACTTGATTTAATGTTCCTTTATTTAATCCTTATCAGCATCTAACTTCATCGCGTAAAAACACTACTGCTATTGAAACTTCGAAGCATTAGCCTGAAGCCATGTGTTCCACTGGGAACGGAAATGAATAAAAAATTCTTTAAAAATGCTAGGTCGAACGTAGGGACTCAAGTTTTAAAGTTGTCGTAGAGGTAATACTGTTTTTACGGAATGGGGGGGGGGCTACTAGTTTCACACACACCCAGATTTCTGTCTCTTCCGAGCTCACTGTCAGCTAGTAAACTGGGATAGACTTAGGAAAGAGGCAGTTGGGAATGAAGACTGGACTATCTGCATAGCGGCTGATAAGTATCGGACCGCTGAACCAGTAATGCACATCTTATTGGCTAGAAATAGTTTATTTTTTTTACCAGGTTTTACTGAAAGAACACTACTTATTTCTGGTTAGATTAGTTTTCATCTGCTATAAACTGATGCCTCTATGTGTATTATCCTAATAACAGTAAGCAATTAGGTTATAAACACAAACGTGAAAAAAATATGACACTGGATTCCTGCATAGTGTATAACAACATGTGACCAGTGAGTGACCTGTATTCCCCAGCCCCAACCAACCCGCCATATAAGGAGATCACTTCTCTGTGAATAAGCTTCTTTGTCTTCAACCGACAGTCAAAGCCTCTCGTTAAATTTTTGGAAAATTCATCTTGTCACTAAATAATAATACTGGAAACCGGATTGTTGTTCCGTAGAGAACATATGTGAAGAATTGACTAATTTGCAAAAAAGAAGTCTCTTATCAGGTCTCGTCAGGGAACTGACCCATGATTCTTGACACATTATTCCCGCATGATATTGTGGATATATCCAGAGAAACCAAAACAACTACTTTCAGTCCTCTAATTAATATCGATTCGTTATGAAATATCGGTTAAACCGCTTGAGACTATCGATAAAAAATTTCTCAAAATAAATGTCTGATGACTAACTAGATGAGTGCCGAAAGTAAAACTCAATCGTCGATGAGACACACCTCTATTGTGTCAGGCATAATCTCACCATTCCATTGCATATGAGGTTTATATCTATGACTAAGTGGTGAAACATTCAGTACATACAACAAGAATTAACCAAGACATGTTTCACCAAACATCTATAAACTGAAAACTATGAAAATGATGTCTTGAAGTGATAAATGCAAAACAGGAACTTTCATCAACTTTTATTAATGCACAGCTATAGACAGTGACACAGCGGTTAGGACGCTCGCCGACCATGCACATGGTCCGGGGTTCGATTCCCGGCCACAGACGCACTCCTTTACCTCGCTAAGCCAGAAAAATTCCTGGTAAAGAGGAAAGGTTTGGCATGAGGCTAGCAACCCCATCCTGTAAAATAAAAACACTGCTGAATAAACTTCAAGCCACAAGCTTGAAGCTCTATGTTCCACTGGGAACGCGAAGGAAAAAAAAATATATATATATATATAGACGAAAGGACTCAAATTTCATTCCTACATTGAAACATCCTACCTTTCATTGGTATAGTGCAGTTAGCTCACATAGTTAATAAGCCTTTAATACAACAATATGAATAACCTACAGTCTAATAATATATACATGCAATTATACAAAACACAAAACTACTAAGCTATAATTGCTTTTATTTCCATTAGACAGCTGTGTTTTACTAATATCTTTTTCTATGTAGTAATTTCCAAATGTTTGCATTCACTACGTATTTAACTGAATTGCTTATAAGTTTATATAAGTAAGTAATTGTGGATTACACCTGTTGTTTAATAAAGCTTAACGATAATAAGCATGCGAAGATACTTAAGTATACGAAAATAAAGTGAAAAATAAATCATATTTTAGCTTAAATACTTTGAATAATCGTCAACTATAGACTTTTTTCTGACTCTGCAAACAATTTCCCTCAGTAAAGTATAGAAATTATGTTACTAATAAAAGAAATAAATACAACTCTTACCTGTTTCATTCGTTGTTCTTCTTTGCTAAGAAATGCACGTGGATCAGAAAGTGCATCGACTAAGTCATTCAACCCTTCAGGAACATATGTGGTAAGCGAGACTTGACAAAATAGTGTAGGTAAAGAAAGCGGAAAATTGCCTTCAGTACGTAATGAGATATGACGATAACCAGCCTGTAAACCATCCAATGGTAGAACACGCTGACCTATTAATTTTCCAGTATCTTCATAAACAGCAAATCGTAAGACAGCAAGATCTGGTAGGACAATCTACAGAGTGGGTATAGAAGAAATTTGACAGTAAAAGTTAAAGTCCTCACACATAATAACGAACTATTAAGAGGTAAAAACAGTAAATTTGTTTTGCGACCGGATTTTATCACATATTGGCTATAAAATCCCTGCGGAAAAAAACTCTTCAAAATTAGTCTAATGGCTACTGCTCACTAACTAAAGGATGAAGTCGACTGAAATCTTACTGGGAAGTCGTGATCAGAACAATCCAACAGGTTGGGTGTGAGGACAGATAACAATGACATTGGCTACTGTTAGCGCTATATATGCATGCATATTTATGTGGCGAAACAGTAGAAGTTGGAATTGATAGGCCATTGGATTCGGTCTCAGTGTCCGTGTGGTATACGAGCTCACCTTTCAACCTGGAGGTCCTGAATTCGATCCTTGGTGGGGTGTTATGGATCCAAACCGCTGAGTAATCCGATGGAAGGGTGAAACAGATTTCTAATACTTTCAGGTTTTCAATGGTTATTTAGCTGAAATCAGTCCACGATCAAAACTGATATCTGTATTCGACAATTTTGTTGCCCACATTTATATCTATAAAGTCATACAACTAAGGCCATTCAGTTTTTATCTTTAAATTACTTTTAATTTTTTGAAGCAATGTTGATGGAACAACTGTAAGTAATAACTATAATGGTAATCGAATATTGATTCGATAAAGGCAAATTCAAAAACAGAAATTTATATCTAGGAATACTAGATCCGTTGAAAGAAACAGTATTTATGATTACCAATCAAAATGAAACTCTGTCATATATCTTCAAGGTATGCGTACTACGAGTAAACATTATCGTCAACAGAGATCACAAATTTCACCTCAGTATAATCAACTAAAGAGATATACCAAATAATAGCTGATATCGGTTACACAAAAAATTGTGCGTCGGTGGCACAGTGGTTAGGACTCTCGCCGACCATGAACATGGTCCGAGGCTCGATCCCCTGCCGACGCACACCTGATATCTATGGTCGGCCTGCGGTTTTAAGCTACCGATATCCATGCTGAAAATTCCATACTAGTGCCAAAAATACAGTGTGGAATCAAGCTGTAATCAAAAATAAAAATAAATAAAAACAAAAAATTGATTCTCTTGGACAAATGTCCTAGTAGATGATGTTTTGGCGTTTAAAAAATGATGGGTGTTGGGCTCCAGTTTAAATGGGAACACTAGCACTGACTGAACATTCACACAAACCTAACTTATGCGTTCCAGATGGGTTGAAATATATGTCCTGGACTCCACCGCTAGTCACCACCAATCAAACATCAAAAACAAGACTTAGTAAATGAGATGTTACCAACTAAATACGTCACTGAGATTGATAAACACATACACTGATCATAGTGAGTGTGATGAAACAAGCTAAGATAAAACTATGGCTCGTTCGTAGTTGTCGTCTTACTAGTGAACTATTCTATAGAATAAACTACGTGAAGGTCGCTTAAAAGATGATTGAAACGAAGCTAAGCTCTGGTTAGTAATTGGACACAATTCCTCAGCTTGTAGATTGATGGGGTTTTTAAAACTAGTCCTTCAGTGACAGATCAGATTTGTCAGGAATGTATTTTTTTACCACTCTGTTTCTACAGATTTTGATCCTGTAATGGTAACTAATATAATATTGAGGTCATAAACACCAATCGAAATCATTTAACCAACAAGTCCACTAAAATCTTTAAAATAATGATTGGCTTATTCAAGTGTAATTTTTAGAACACAAACATACCACATTATAGACATCACACAGGATCTCATAGTTTGTACAACGGCTGGAATACTGCTCAGATGCCCGGACCGAATCAGGTGGTTTTCTTGAGGGGCAAATCTCCAAACCATTGACTTGAAATTCGATACACAACCAAGTTGAGCAGCGTCAGTGTAGCTACTTAACCATAGGTGACTTTGACCGAAATAAATTGATAAGTTATTCGATACTTTCGGATTCTGGAGTCCATGTACGACATAGGTTTCAAATTAAGATTTTTCAGTCCCCCTAGGTAGACATGCATATCCACTAGCCCGATTGTACGAGCCAGACGTTAGCATTTGTTCTTTCATCACTTTTGTGAGGAACATCCTCACCATGTGAAAGTGGTAATTAGTCAGATGCAATGCTGTAAGCAGAGGCTTTTAACAACTTCATCGGTGATTTATATTGATTCAAATATTCAGCATTACCGAGTTTGATTATTAAAGATAAATAAATTCAATAAATCCATCTAGTCAAGTGTGAGAATGGATATCCCACCAACGACATTGGTTGGGGTCGCGCTAAATCACAAATTGGTAGAAGTTAAAATTCATGGGCTGGCCACTGAAATGGGTCCCAGTGGCTGAATGGTATACGAGCTGGCTGGTCTTGTAACCAGAAGGTCCTGGGTTCGAACCCTGGCAGTGGATGCGTACTGACGATGATTCTTAAACCAGGATGAAACAACTATTCAGTCAGTACTCCCTGTGGCTGGTTTTCAATGGTTCTCTAACTGATATCAATCAGTAATTAACTCGTAAAAACAAAACTAATACTTACAAACCAAACTATAGAAAATTCAAAACATTTAAAAAATAATAATAATTTTTAACCTTACTTTTCTGAATACGAAAACAGCATCATCACCATAAACTGGATTCAAGCCATTATTAGGAACAACTCGTGTACGAAATTCTTTACGTATAGTATCTGTAGGCAAACCATACATATCAACTTCAACGTAAGTGCCAACTTTACGATCAGAAAGAAATTGACCCGAGATAATTTTCACTTCACATGTAGCTGCAATTACACCATCCATTGGTGATTCAGAGAATGGATCAAATTGTCTTTCTGGACGTCTCATAAATTCAGGCTTTAGTAAATATCTAAAATTCCAACAAGCGCATGCGTTATTATTTATTGTTAAACGATTAGATCAGTTATCAAAGAGCTACTAACATTTATGATAATTAAGTGAAGACAAAACCTTAGTTTTGTGACAGTTTGACGTAATTTTGGTTAAAGAGTTTTTATTAGTGATGCACAGGTTCCAGCGATAAACTTTGTTCAGTGTTGAATGTATAATTTTTAAAAAAATGGGCTATGAAAGAGCTCAAGCCTTCCCCCCCTTAAAAAGCATAATTAAAGTGAAGTTTATGCTGTTAAAATTCACTTTCTGTGCCATTGAAATACTTCAACCATGTGTATAATAAAAGTGATACGGAAATCGGCATCAAATAATCAAATATATTTCATACATTTGATTCCCTTGATAAATTTCGATAGAGAAAGAAGGACCAAATGATATCATTCTATTTCACAGGTTCTCATCAGCTGAAAACTACCTGAAACTACAATGGCTATAAACACGGGCATTTCATAATTTAATATTCGAAAGGTAATAGAAGAGAAAAGATTATAAGATGAACGCATCCGGAATACAAGCATTAAATAATTTTAAGTTTAAGTCACCATCCATTTATGTGCTTTCAAATTATGAAAACAGAACGACATAGAGGAGGAGATGACAGACAATAAAAAATCTAATAAACAGTGTTAGTTTGTACGTCTACATAGCAACTCATGCTTAAAAGGAAACAGATATTTACAAAGTGTAATTACCAGACACCTTGTGAATACGGGTCATTTTGTCGACATTTCTAAATCCTCTTAAAATATTAAACATACAAAGGACAGAGAATTTACTACGATTTACCGAGGCAATCTCAATCAAGCGTTTCAGACCAAACTTATTATGCACACACACAAAAAGAGAGTGTAGTCAATCTCTGACTCCCTTTGTGACTGTATTGTACTTTGATTACACTGATTCATCATGCACATTAGTGAGTTCAGCTCACTGAGCAAGTTTTCAATTTGATGAATTTCAACCTTCTTGAGTCACTATGTTGATGTACAAGATAACAATATTTATTAGAATTTTCTGTTTTCTGTCTTCTCTCACCCCACACCTAACCCCGTTCTGTTTTCATAATTCGAAAGCATATAAATTGATGGTGACTTAAACTTAGAATTATATAATGCTATTGTTCCGGATGCGTTCATCTTATAATCTTTTCTGCATTACCTTTCAAACATTGAAGTATGAAATGTCATCATTTATAACCATTGTAATTTCAGGTAGTTTTCAGCTGATGAGAACCTGTGAAATAGAATGATATTATTGTATACTGCAAATTTGGTCTTTCTTTCTCTACCGAAATAAAATAAATTGAATTACAGTATCTAATAGCCTACGAATTAAACACTGTTCAAGCATTATTTCAAGAAAAGAGTTTAGTTAGAAAGTGGTGCTTAGATCACCTGGATCTGGCTGGTAAGCAAGCGCTACTGGTTAATGTGAGCGCTATACAACTAATCATCTAAGTTGATTAGTAGCATGTAGTTTTATGCCGATTTGCTTGCGTTCTTAATTACCACTCATGGTGTCAAGCAGATCACATATTGTGACCTGAATAACTTTGACTCCAAAGGAAGTTACGGCGAAATTTCACTCCTTGGACTGTGTAGATTGAAAATTATGAATTTGATCGACCAAGTAGCTAGCCAGAAATCGGGTGCTTTGAGCTGATTCACTTCTCTGAGTTCAGTCAGACTGAGCACACCGATGATGAACTCGGCTTTACACGTGCTTATATCACTTCGATTTTTCTGGGTAGCAAATACTACAGGTTGATGTGAGTAGTACCCAACTACACATATCAGTTAGTCAATAGTATACAGCGTCATGTGTCTATAATCACCTTTTCCTAAGACTACCGTTAGCTTAAACAGAAAGTTATTATTATGCTCATCAACTGTTACCAATACTTTGACTGAACACTAGTAACTAGTGTGGTGTGTCGAGTCCTTTGTTTGGGGTAGACTGAATTCTATCAGTCAGGTTTACAATGTGGCCACCGTGCCACTAGGTAGCTCACCATTACGGTGCGCACATTGATTTGATGATATTAGATGGTTGAAGGCAATCGGCCACAGGAAGCCTTACTTGACCTGGGTTTCGTGCAAGTTGGCACTCCCAGTCAGCAAGGTGTATCTGCAACCTTGAAGGAATCCACTTTTTCCTTCCGAGATTCGAACCCGCGTCACCCAGTGAGTACTGCAGTCAGAGACCTTACCACTGAGTTATTTTGGGCTCGCGAATGACCTCTTGTCGGACTGTATTGAATATTTTGATTGGACACTAGGTAATTGGATAGAATCACGTCATTCAAAATGACTGCCTTACATAGGTTAACCGACATCAAGTAACCCGATTATGAGAGTAGATAGCAAAATTACTGAACGAAAATATTTCATTACAATAAACAGAGAATTACATGAAATCGTTTGAATATATAAAAATATGAAGAGGTTGGAATATTTTTCTTTCAATGTAATCTATATTAATTACAAGCAGACATGATGCTAGACATGATAATAGTACAGCATAAAAATATATAATGATAAGCAGGTGTGTAAAATTCAGTCGAAAAGATAAGAGGTTTGTGAGATAATGTGAACAATATAAGACCAACATATTTGTCACAAAGCTGTATATATATATATGCAGGATTAAATCTGAGGAAAGCCGAAATGTTTCTACTGAAGCATATGTTTCTAACATGTTATCAGTAGGATGTTTTGTGATATAAAAACTAAACGAAGGAATCTTTGGAAGTCAATAATAGTAAACTTCTCTTTCATTGTAACACAACAAGATGGAATCTGAGTATTTATGAAATCAAACATCAATTTAAACAGTAGGCAGACATAGTCTCGTTATCTTTGGAACTTTAATGACTCAATAAGATGAACAACATGTTAATGAGGAGTAACGCCGTAGTCTATCTGATTCTCAGGAAGCTACTTTAATTTCCTTCGAGCCTAAGGCATACACTTTTCTTCATTACTCTTACCGTTTTATTCATGTAATTATGTTTTTTCTTCGGAATGCTAAAGGAATCCAAGCACTGAATTCGATCAGGTAAGTTTGCAATGTGGCCATCAAGCCAATAGGTGGCTCGCCAACACGGTGCATTCTGAATTGTTATCAGATGGCTGGAGGTAATCTGTTAGAACCGATGGATCTACTTCTTGTGCTGATTAGTACTCATCATACAAGGAATACCTGTTATCCTGAAGCAATCCGTGTCCCTCCTTCTGAAACTTAAGCCCACTTCGCCCAATGCTGTATTCAGAGATGTTAACACAGAGTTATTGATCTCCTGTAAGACCGTTATACCCATGTTAATAGAACACTTGGTGGTAACTAATGCCATGACTTCCAACCATGTGACAACAATGTAGAGTGCGAGTCACCTAGCATGGTGATCACATTGCAAACTTTGCTAGAATTCAGTCTGCACTAGACGCATGACACTTAGTGTCCAATACAGTCCTACATGAGATCAGTCGGGAGCCCAAATAGCTCAGTAGTAAGATCTCTGACTGCAGTACTGGATGACTCGGGTTCGAATGCCAGAGGGATATAAGTTCCTCAAAGGTTACAGGAAATAACCCTCGATGACGAGTTCCAATAGGCACGAAACCTATGTCAAACGCTTCCTGTCGATTGTCTCCAACCATCTCATAATATATATATATATATATGTTGAGAGAGAGAGAGAGAGAGAAAGAGAGAGCAATAATCACTTACCCACAATTACCATTGTATTCAAATTTACCCTGATTTAATTGCATAGCTAAATCCGGTGTTTGAAAATTTAAAGCTACCATTTGGCAACCGGCATTCCAAAATATCTAAGACACACATACAAAAAGAAGAAACAATAATACACAATATGAATAAAAATACAGAATGTTGACACGGTTGAGTTACTTTTCTGGGTTTTACCAGACAATAATAAAATACAGTCAGAAAAAGAAAGTTCACTCATTATCCGTATAGTTAAACATCTAAAACTAAAAATATTTCAGTAATGATTAATTAATTGTTTACGCAAGACATTCACTAATTAACTAAACGAGAGAGAGAGAGACATTGTTCGAAAAAGAAAGACACATAAAGAAGAGAAAGGAAGAATGGAGTGGGTATATCCATACATGATAAACAGTAAGATAGAATTTCAATTCAATTCCACGATAATAAAAACAGGTAATCAACCAGCAGGGAAAGGAAGTAATCCTCATCGTATATTTCATTAATTTCCACTTAATCTAGTGAGCATTCGTAACCAGCCGGGTCAGGTAAGAGAAAAGTTAGTCGCCTATGACATTGCCTAGCAGTTGCACTATATCCATCGAGAAATGGCAAAAGTTGGAATTCATGGCTTATAAGATCGGATTAGAGTGTTTGAATGGTCCACAAGTTCAAATTGAAAACAGGAGATCTTGGGTTCAAATCCCAGTGGACGCATTCTACTGAAGAGTCCCAAATCAAGACGAAACGGTTATCCAGTACTACCTAGTTTCCCAAATGTTCCTCATAACCTACAATTAATCATAAAAGTTGCTTTGATAGGTTAAAAAGGGAGGAATTTACTTTAGCAGAGGACTTTCATGGCATTCCTACCTTTGAATGAATAGTTTCTATGCTATACACACACACACACATAAAACTTCTTTGTTCTGTTCAGTTCCCTCAATTAAAATGGCGAAAATAATCCAACTATTTTGACCTATATGAGGCAATGCTTCTACTGGGAATAAAAGTTTTAAACTATTTTTACACATTCGAAATAAGGTCAACAACTTGTATCCATAATTGCATAATTAACCGACTATTTCTTCCGATAATAAAGAGAAAAATAAGAATAAGAATTCACACAGTAAAAATGTATTCAACCATACATATATTTCCAGTGAGTATCATTCATTCTTTTCAACAACAAAAAAATATATATAATGAAGCATACAACCGACATTTCAATACTTATTCCCTTGTGTTAGTTAACCTATTTCCAATGTTATCCATTCGAGAAAAATAAAACTGTAAGCATACAAAAATGATGCAAATAAGTGAAATTGAAAGAATTACTTATTGGTAAGTTAATTAGTGTTACATTTTTATGTGTTGTTGATAAGTTAAGAAAAAACCAAAGAACGAGATTCAAGTATTGGTTTGTAGGGATTTGGTTGATTGGTTACAGGATTTCATCATGAGCTGACATTGGTTAGATAACCATTGGAAAACCTTGGGAGTACTGGACAGCTGTTTCGGCCTAGTTTGGGACTCCTCATCAGTATGCACCCACCGGGATTCATACGGTGAAGAGTCCAAAACGAGGACGAAACAGCTGTCCAGTACTCCCAAGGTTTTCCAATGGTTATCTAACCAATGTCAGCTCATGATGAAATCCTGCAACTAAAGAAGGAGAGTTTGGGAATCTTCTACCCTCAGTATAAGAAATAAAATTTGGCTTTTTTACACCAGTATTAAGTCAGTCAGTGCTTCTACATGGGTCAGGCACTTGGTAGGCGGCGGGTCACGAAAAAGATTTCCAACAAGTCACATACTTTTATCAACAGATGTCATCTTCAATTGGTGGATGGTGACTAGCAGTGGAATCCAGGATAACGCGCATTTCGTCCTAATTGGGACTCGTCAGCTGCATGTACCTGCATTCCCCACTCAGTGAGTGATGATGTTTACACCGAGGCTCAAACCCAGTACCCATAGTTTCAAACGCCAAAGCTTTATCCACTAGAAGCCGCGACATGTCAACCTGAGACCGAGCACTTCGGTCCAATCAATCGACGGGAAAATTTCAAATTCAATAAAAAGCTGTCATCTTCGCCGACTGCATATTGAAGATCAAAAATGGGAAGTCAAAAAGAATCAGCGAGATCAAACTCTGGGAACAAAAGAACAAAGAACCATTATTACTCAACAAATAATATGCATAAGAAAATCGAGATAAATTGGACATCCTCTGAGGAGACTGTCAAATGGTATCACACATCAGGACCTCAAGTGGAACCCGAATGGGAAACAGAGAGTTAGATAAGAGACTATGGGGGCAATTTAGGCACCAGCTAAGGAGAATCACAGAGAAAAGGACAAGGTCGAGATGTTCTGTTGAAGCCTTATTTTCGACTCGGAACCCAAGGGAACAATAATAATAATAGGGAGAGAGTTAAACTCAGTCTGTTTAGTGATTAAATTATGCGTTATGTAGGAAGTTCGGCTAATTTCAATTGATAGATTTTGTCATGAATCAACATATCATTTAGAGAGTCTAGATAAAGCAGTAAGAAGGTATAATTTGTCTGAACTGTGTGTAATGTATTTGCGCAACACATTTCGAACAATTTGATCACACACGGACTTGTCACAGAAGTATATATGAAATTAATAAAGAGTTAAGAGGTGAGAAAATTGACTTAGGTCAAGTTAAAAGGACATATTGAAGGTCAAAATAACAATGAAGACCACTAAACTAAATAACAGAGGTAATAGTACCCTGGCTGGTATCAAAACAAAGTTTACCAAGGAAGGTTTAGTATGATGACGAATTGTTGTTTTGATCGCATAAAGGTGGTTTAAACTTTCTAATTGCCAGCTAGGGCTTCCACAAACTGTAGAATACGCCCCAAACACGTCTTATAGATAGGTTTAAAAGATGTGTTAACGTCAATTTTATATCCTGTCTCTGTAATATGTTTCGCAATAGAGGAGCTAAGTCTCCTGTCCTCACCACTAATGGGGTTCTGAAGATTCTATTTGTTTCTGAAGCCATTTAGGAATATGCTCTGTAACCAGCCCTCACTTGCAGAGATCGATGAGTCCTCCCTATGTGTGCGTGTGTCCACATGTACATTCAAATTAGTATCACTGAAAACTAGGGACCAATGGACAACGGATTATTCAGCATTGCCGCATCCATGACCCCAGCAAGGATCGTTATTAGGATCTTCAGCTTGCGAGGCCATTGGTTGATCGCCGACCATTCAACCACTTGAAGTAAGATTTGGATGACTTGTGGATTCTAACTTTGTAAATTCATACATATACCGAGCAAAAATGAACCAATCCCACCGCTGGGTATCCCCTATACCTAGACATTGTAGACTTCCAGTTTGTTTGGACTGAGTTACCCTGTAAAGCTCTCTTTCATACAACGGAATATAAGCTACCTAGTTATTGTTTGAAGGCTGGAAATTCTATCAATTTGCTAATAGTGAAGTAGGTGGTACGATATTCGAATCTGGGACGTATTAGTTCAGAGTTGAGTGCTTAAGCTTAATTAATTATTACCAGTACTACTATGATAATCGAACTGGTTAACTGTCTAAACAATCTAAGAGAGCTATAAATCATGTGTTATTAGTGTTCTTCAGTTAAACAAGAAGTATCACCTTTCCATGACATTATTTTCAAGTTGTTCACTAGTATTTATAGCATGTAAGAAAAAAGTTAGCGTACGTTGGTGGCACAACGATAAGATGCTCGCCAACCATGCCTCACGTCGTCCGGCACATTCGATCCCCCGGCCGACAGACACACTCCCAAACCTCGCTAAGCCAGTAATAAGATTGGTAAAATAGAGAAGGTTGCGCATGAGGATAGCAATCCCATCCCGTAAAAGTAAACGGCACTATTTCCCTTTTTACGTAATAATAAAAACCACTAACTAGTTTGAAGACGAAATCATCGGAACAAAAAAAGTTTCTTTGTGTTAGATTTTTGATTTCATCTTATCCATAAGAAAAGAATGTTAAAGTAGTTAGGAATTTCTACAACAAATATATATATATATATATATATATGTTTCTAACCTCTCTGTTATTCGATTAGTTTCACACTTTAGAATTTATTTTTCAACCATATAGCTTATTGGCGCTTTGCACCCTAGATTTCATATCCCAAATTATATATATATATATATATATATATATATATAGGCTTTAGAACTTTTGTCTGTACTTTTCTACTATTATAGGTCAGACAATAATAAACTATGATATGATACTGATAAGGGATAAGACACTGGAAAGCTAGTCACATATTGACTGTATGGTAAACTTGAAAATACATTTAGCCATTAAAAGAACATATAGTACATACAGTAGTCACATTCTACTAGTCAAAAATCGAATCACATTCGTCAGTCGACTGTTAATTCGTGCATGCCTAAAATGTAGATATTACATGTGAAATATTAAGTTATAAGTATTTCAAACCCCTGTCTACCTTGATTATTACTATTATTATTATTCGTTTCTTTAGGTTCTGGATGGGATATAAAGCTTCAGTAGCACGTCTAAAATGTATTCTGTTTCCTGCTGTCAAGTTCCAGCTGGCTCCACGACTGTCTATAAGCTTTCCTTTTCTCTTCACGTGATCTTCTCCATGAGAATTGAGAAAAAACCCGCTTAACTCGTCGCCTTCCCTCCAAGTTTCATGTCTTTAAATGGATATTTGTTGGGAAATAGATTTCTGGCTGGTTTGCTGCCAAAGTTCCTTGTTATTTAGTCTTTTTAACAAGCCGTTTGACCTTCAGTATCGAGCCTGAGAAGGCACCTGTTAATAAAAGTCAGCAGAGGTCTGTTGCTTCGGGTGACGAAATTACCGACTTTCTGAACTATAAGGAAGCAGTGAATGGACATTGGTGTTGAAAATTCTGATATTGCTCGTTGTGATGTAGACTCCTACACTGCTTCTGGATTTGACATTCTTATCCGTGCCACTTGTAGCTGAAAACACTCTGCCCAAGTAAGTGAAGAAGACAACTTCTTTTAGACTTCGCCCATCGAATTTGACTGATGTTTGTTGTTGGCATTGGGGTATTTTCGTCACA